ATAGTGGGGCCGGCGTGACCGTGCATTTTCATGATGACCAAACCCAAAAGAAATCCACTGCCACTGAACTGACTCTGACTCACAACAACACCGCTCCCCTTCCCCACGACAGAGTAGAACTGCCCAGTACGGCCTCCAAGGCTGCACACCTTCATGGATGCCTGCTGCCGCACCCTTCTTTGCAGTGATGGTTGCTGGGTGTGAACTGCCTACCTTTCGGTGAGCAGCCAAGTGCTTTAACCACTATACTCTCAGGACCTGTCATTCTGACAGATGAAGGTTGCTCAGTCCCAAGTCTTGCCGTGAAGTTGAGTGTAAAGAGGCTTCCGATACAAACGGGCTGGGAGAGTCTCAGTGCTGTGCAGGGCGGCCTGTGGAGGGTTCTTCATGAACGCTCCCCACCCCAAGGTAACTTCAGTGGGAAAAAACGAAACCACACCAAGCGCACCCAGGAACCCCCTGAAGACTTGGACACCGAGGACGCCCCCAGGAAGAGACTCAGGATGGACAAGCACGGTCTTCGGAAGGTAACGGTGCCCTGGCTGCCTGCCTGTCAGTGCAGTGCTGCCCCAGGTGGTGGTGGGGGGCGGGGCGGGGAGGAGGGGGCCACGGCTTTCCTTCAGGACGTGCTTCCTTCAGGAAGGGCCACCTGGTCGCAGGCATGGGTACACAGACACGGGGATACTTTGCTCAGAGAAAGTGAACCTAAGCTGTTTGAATGGGCCGTTAAGGATACGTGTCACCTTTGCACTCATTCTTCAGGAGAAAGCCAAAAAGCTCCCCATACAAAGTGCTAGAAATAGTAAGAATGAACTCGGTTTATTAGTAGCTCACCGCAATGTTCACGGAGTTTTGACTCAAGAGGCGGCCTGGCAGGCCTGTGCAGTAGGGTGAGGCGTGTGAGTGGGAAGGGCACCTCTGGAGAAAGGCACTCTTGGGCCTTGCAGCCCACTTGCAGCAGGCACCACAGGGCAGTTTGCCTGAGCAAGGCCTCTGTGGCTCTGAGAAGCCCTGCCATTCCAGGTGGGCCCAAGCCAACTCACATATGTTGAGGTTTAAACAGGCAGCCCCACCTGCCCTTCCTGTTTCCTTAAAGTCCTCCTGGCAGTTCAGAGGACTTCTGGGATTCCTTTTGTGAGATGGGTTCTCAGTGGCTCCGGAGCCAGCACCTGGTCGCCTCCTCTTGCCAGAGTAGCCTGGATTGGCACTCACTGAGTCTGGCCACTTTGAAATGTTTGTACATGCTAACTACCCCTAGAAACGCCCTGGTTGCTGGAAAGAACATTTGCCTGAAATAGCTGGGTGGCGATGCTTTTACTACAGCTAGTTCTACTGCCTGACGTTGCCAGCACACACCTGAGCACTTTGGACAGACTAGGAAGTGATCTAAGTGTCCAGCCCTTGTGTCCTTAGTCCTTGTGACCACTGCGGACAGAGTCATCCTGCCCTGCCCCTCAAAGTGGTCTGACCCACCAGGCAGTCCTGCCATTGTCCCCTACCTGATGCAGACTGCTGGGGACTGGAAAGAATGTTCACAGTGCTGCCTCATCTCTGGGTTCAGGGTGTGGACGATCTTCCTTGGTGAGGCAAGGAAGGAACCCTAGAGGCAAAGCTGTCACACCACAGGGCCAGGAGCGTGGGGACACTTCCCTTGCCTCTAGGTTTCACCTGGTCTCTCAGCATGCTGAGCATAGGGTAGCTGCAGCAGGACTTGGGCTCAGGGGGCCATGCATGGCCAGCCCCAGGCCATGTGGGGCCCAGGGAGACAGGTATCTTTCCAGCAATCACATCCTCCTATGTGTGCTCACATTAGGAATCCTCCTTTTTCTTTTCGTAACAGAGAGAGATGTTCACTGACAAAACAGCCAGAACAAGCTCCTCTAAGGTCACAGAGTCAGCCTCGTCGCTGAAGGGCCAAGCAGGTAATATGGTCAGCGCCTCCACCCTAAACTCCTGCTGGGAGCCTGGGGTGGGGTAGGCTGGTGGCTGTGGAGGGCCCCCTGGATACATGTGGGGCGAACAGTGAAACGTGCGTGTATGTTTATGTGGTAGCAGTGCAGGATTAAGATGAGAAACATGGATGTGTGTGACATTTCCAGGCATGTTGGTCGGGAGTGGGAGTGGGAAAGGGGGTCAGGCCTAGGAGGGGCCCAGGGGTCTAGCCATCCAGCTGACATGGGTGAGGAGCCGGCTGGATGGAATGGGGCGTTTCAGGTAGCTGGGAAGCAATCTGTGCGTGTGTGCATTGTGTTAGAATTCTGCTCAGTGTCACTGAAGTCACTGTTCAGTTGCTTTCTGTGGGGCTTTATGCCAATTCCAACTGAAAGTTCCTCAAGCAGCAGTCTATAAAGTAGACCATTTGCCCACTTCCTACCTGGAGGTCAGTGGTTGCTGTCAGTGTCAGCACTCTTCAGTCTCCGAACTCCTCCACGTAGCTTAATGAGGCGTAAAGGCATTGACAGGCTGTTCCCATTTCACATGAGGAAACATGCCTACCGTGTTTTTGGAAAAGAGCTATCGAAAGGGGAAAACAGTTCCCCTGGTTCCTTGTCCATGCCTTCTCTCCGGTGTGTCTGTTGGAGAGCTGATTACAGAGCAGGGAGCATTCGTGGCAGAAGGGAGTTGGAAATGAAGATGGGGAGTGGCTGGTTTCCTGGTGTTCTTGAGGTGCTGTTTTGAACTTTGGAACAGTTAACTGACCTCAAACACACGTTCACGAGCCCTCCTTTTTTGCCTGTGTTCCTTGGTGAGCGCCAGAAATTCCAGCCCTGGCTGGGTAGTTGATGATGTGAAGAGGTAGTTTGCTTCAGGTGTGATCAGGGGACTGCGTTATGGTAGAGAAACAGACTGAGCTGTTGTGTTCTGCCATTGACTTCAGAGTAACCTGGGAGGGGGGAACTGGGGGCGGTGTGCAGGGCGACGGGTCCCTGGGGTCCGTCTGCTTCCATCAGCCATCACTTGTTGCATGATGAAAAATGAAGGCCTCTGTCCGACCAAGCCACCCGGAGACACACCTTTGGAACCTCCTTTATTAGAGGGTGTTCTAAAGCAGTGAAAACTCAAGGGAAGATTTCAAGCTTTTTTTTTAACGAGCCACCATTGTTTTACAGCAACGAAAAATCTGTCTGATGCATGCAAACCCCTGAAGAAGCGAAACCGAGCTTCCACAGCAGCGCCCTCAACTCTTGGGTTTAGCAAAAGCTCATCTCCTTCCACATCCTTAACCGAGAATGAGGTAAAATCATCAAAATGATAACCGTGGCATTCGTGTGAAGGCCATTTAGTTAATCACGTTCAAGTGTGAGTAAAGGTCAGACTGAACAAGCGTAATGTTGGTGTTCTTCACAAATTCAGGGCAAGCTATAGTCCCTCCACGCTATCTGAAGTGGACAAGGTGGAGAAACCACCATCTCAGCCCAGTTGGGCACTTCAAGTCGAAACACACCCGCACCCACACACAGTGTCTGTGTAAATGTGTATGTCTTCACCTCAGTGTTAATGCACTTCAATTGTGGCTAAATCTGTCTTTAAAATGTGCTTTATGTAGCAATCACACTGTCATTTTCCCCATGGAAACAAGCCTACTTTTGGCTTGCTAGGATAGCATGGTGTCGGCCCAGCTGACACCAGTCATTGTGCACTCACAGGGGGCCACTGTGTTCTTGTTGCTTCCTGCCCAGGCGTAGGGACGATGCAGGCCGCCCCTTCATCCTCATGCACTCCCAGGTCTGCCCGCAGCCCTCCTCCCGCCCCCAATTTCATCCTTGCACATGTTGGCATATGCTACTAGTGTCATGGTGAATCAAAACGGTAGTAGAATGAGGGTCCTCCTTTCTGGACTTGCAAGATCTATGATTACCAAATAGTACCTCTCTGAGGTTGCTCCCTGCCACCAGTGTAACATGCCACCTAGATTTTACATCCAAACTGAAAGTCAAACTCAAATCAAAAAGGTGGCCTCAAAATGCACATCTGACCTTTGTTTGTTTTTTGCCAAATTAGTTTTGATTCCTGGAGTTCTGGAGTTCCCGTTTCCAAGTTTTGTTCTGTCTCCCTCCCTCTCGCTCCCTCTGAGTCTGTTTCCCTCCTTGTAAACCTGGGTCCTGTTTTTTTATGACTGCGTACTATTTATGCATGAGAAGCTGTTCTCTTGGCCATGTCGGGACAGAGTAGTGAGATGGGGTGGATATCAGAAGATGGCAGCCCCGGCCTCCTCTTCCGCCAGCAGCAGGGACAGAATCTGGTGACTCTGGCCCAGCCTCCGTTGGTTGACCCTATTAGTCTAAGGGGAGGGCCTGCCGAGCATCTGAGGTGTCCTGTGCTAAAGTTCAGTGACATAGGCACTAGCGCCCTTTGCTGATTCCTCCTCCGATGGTGGTGGTGGTAGAGAACTACTCCTGTGAGTGGTTTTTCTTCAGCAACTCAGACCAACCCAGTCATGGTGAGATGTTTCCTTATTTGGTACAGGTGGGTACCGAATTTTCTTATTTGGTACAGGTGGGTAACTTGGACATATCTGTTGTCTGAGTGCTCTGAGGAGATGCAGTAAAAATTCTTCACTGAACTTGTGGGAGCTCATTGAAACAAATTGTAGACACATTTTTTCTTAGCCCTTTTTCTCTTGTCCAAGTTTTGGTTAACATCGTAGACAATGCAATGAGTGAAAGGTTGTCTACAGTTCTAAAGAAGAATATTAAATAAGAAAAAGCTTTAGTTCTGTAGACACTTTAATTAAATTATTAAAAAGTAGTAATAATAATAATGGTGAGGAGTTTTTTGGTATCCTTTTTTAGTTTCCGTATTCACTGGTTGAGTTTTTACTTAGATTGTTGTCAGATACAGTTGAAGGAAGCAAACAAGCTCCTGAAATCCTGACGGTTGTCCGGATAATGGCGATACATGGTTAAGGGTTGACATGACATTTCTTTGCACACAGCAGGGCTGGCAGGCCAGGGCGAGGTGAACCTTAAGGTTAACACGGGTTCAGTTGATGTTTCTGGCTCAACACTTTTTAACTTGGGAAGACCACGGTGTGGAGCATCTTCTAATCACCGGACTTAGTAGGGGTTTACAAATTCTTTAGCACTTATGACATTGACGGATGATGATCTAGGCACGCCTCCTCCTCCCTTGTGGAGGTGACACAGTCATCCCGTGGGTACTGTGTCCCTGATAGAACAGTAGCTAAATGGGTGGGTCTTTTCTCCTGGGCCGCCTCATAAACTTCCCATGAGCCTTATCTTTGCAGAATTGCACTTAGATTAAAAGGGTGAGCCCAAAAGACGTGTGTGTCTCTTACGTCTAAGGTAAACATTTGCAGTGTGTACAGTGCTGACTGCCTGGTCGTCTGTGACACGAGATGCAGTGTTACAGAGAACCCCTGTGAAGACTGGGCCCACTTCTGAGACTAGTCAGGCAGCCGAGAGGCTCCTCTTTGTCTGGGTATAGGCCGCTTCCTGTTCGGAGCTGTGCACCTGCTGTAGTTAAATACTTTCCTCTTCCTACCACATTGGACTGTAAGGAGGAGTTTTCTCCGAGCTGGTACTTGAAGACCTTGTGGCCCCCTGCCCCCCGAGGTCTATGTGGGGAATAAAGTCTGTGTCAGAGTACTGGTGGTCTTGCCCTGCTCACCGCAATGAAGGGACGGAACTCCACAGTTGCATGACAGAGGCCTGGGAAGGAATTAATGTGATTTAAGTGTTTTGTAACTTCATTTCTTATTCCTTTAGTAGAGCAATTTCTTATTTTTTTCGCCTTCACTGGTAACAGCTTTTATGGGAGCCCACATCAGTCAAGTTGGATTTGAACTCAGCTGCAATGTACTGCACTTAACATGCTGTCACATTCCAAGATGGCTGCTGCAAGTGGTATCTCATCGTAGACACTAATGACATTTCTTTCACAATCATTTTATGGAAGATGTGTGATAATCTGTTTTTACTGGTATTAATAAACACATACAATGAAGAAAACAGATAACAAAATTTAAGACCAAGGTAAGATACCTAATCAAGGTCATTTAATCAACCACATTCATCTCATAATAAAAACACATTCATATTCCAACGTTTAATGTAGAATTCCAGTGGGAAAGGGGTACCAGTGAGTCACGTGCGGTCTTAGAAATGTGACAGGGGCACCCCTGGGAAGGCAGGTCATCTTGTGTGAAGTAATCTTTCTCTTTTAGTTGGTCACTTAACTGCATTTTCCCTAAAAGATGGCAGCATCTGTAAGTAGAAAATCAAAACAACAGCACACATTAAAAGGAGTCCTTGTCAACTATTCTCATTACCAACAAAATGTATTCGTACTGTAGATATTAGACTAATTTCAACATGAAAGGCAGGAAGGGTTTTGATTCTGTCCTTTTTTACTAAGCAGTTTTACTATGACACTAGAGGTAGTAAATTTTTAGGAAAAAAAAAAGTACATATATAAATATCCTTTGCAGTATTGTTGTGAACCATTTAACTGTACCTTCTGATCCACTAACTGCTCCCGGGGAACCACCGCCAGCCCACCCGTGGCTGACGTGGCGCACTCACCATCATGTTAGTGTTTTCATCTGGGACGACCCGCCCGGCTTCCTGCCCCAGGGTTTCCGCATGTTTGCATGGCCCTTCAGCTCATAGAGCAGGACGCGTGCTGTTCATGTGAGCATGTTAATAGCACGCGATTCATTCCCAGCAGATTCTTCAGGTGTGCTTTACCTTTGATGAAAGTTTCTGCCTGATACTTCAGTTGTCAATCATCAAGTAACGTAGCGCATGTACACACTTAGGATGCCTGCGCCTGGCGAGGCCTTGGTGGTTTGCTGTTGTGACAATGCTGGTTCTAACAATAAAAATAATACAATCACCACCATTCCATTCTTATCCAAGAGTATCAATTTTGCTTTGGCATGAAACGTGGTTCTCTTGACTCCATTATGCACGTGGGGATCAAATAAACTTAGAAGTGGCCGAACCCTTGAGTTTGTGTGTGTAAACGTTAGTGGACTGGACGGTGTGGCTGGTGGCTGGTTGAATTGCTCTACTGCCTCTGCTGCTGTGTAGTGGAAAAACAGCATTGGATATGGCCTAGGGGCAATCTAAGGTCACTTTAGCAATCTTAAGGTATTTCTAAAGGATACACAAAAAGAATAAATGTAGGATTCTTCAATAGCCACTAACTTGAGAGGTAAAAAGAGATAGTTGATCTCAAAATGGCCCTGCTGTGAGCAATGATCACTGAGAGTAAAGACTGTCACTTGGAAGGCTTTTGGCTGGCACTGAGGGATTTCATGTGCAGGGAAAGCAGGGTGCATTTTGAAGGAAGGGCCCCTCAGCTGGTGAGCACGTGATGCTGGAGGCATCCAAGGTCACCCAAAGCATAGGTGCTTCTCTCTCAATGGGGAAGTTGAGGACCTGCAGCTGACAGCATGGTGTGGCCACAGACAGCAGATGTACTTAGAGGCTGGGGCATGAGGTGGACAAGGGAGGGAACAAGTTTGGGTTTCTCAATCAAGGGAGGTGTCATCCTCTGGGGTCATTGAGAGAGTGATTAAGGAGGCAGGCAGCCTCAGTGTCCCACATGGAGAGGGACAGTCTCCCATAAGGCAGAACTGTCTCACTCCAAATTCCGTTAGTAGTCTCTGAGGAGTGCTGGCAGAGGCCAAGGTCATTCCAGGGAAGGTCATTCCAGCACGGCTTTCCAAGGAGGAGAGTTGAAAGGAGATCTGGTCTGAAAATGCTGAATGTCGGGCAGTAGTTTGCCAAAATGCATCATGCTACAAATTGAACATGGGATTACTTCACTTCCCCAAAGGTCAAAATAAAAGGGACAACATGCTAACCTACGACATTGGAAGTGCCCATCGCTTATATAGACCTGCAGATGCTATACGTAGAATCATTTAAATTATTTGTTTTGACGTGCTTTAAAACAGTTCTCAGACCACACTTGTGCCGGGTGGAGGAGATAGCTTTGAGAAGGAGCACTCTACTCTTAACATGTTCACAAGAAGTGAGAATCTCTCTGATGATGTATAAGCTTGGATTCTAGACGAAGGGAAAGGGCCATGTTATCTAGAGTAGTCTTTTGAAATGAGTGTCTGGTGTTGGCAGTGCAGAGCATTGTTCTTATAAGATAGGTTCAAGAGCCACTGGGCTAGCAGGTCTTCATAGATCTGCTGGCACTGGCCACGCGCCCCACATGGACTTCTCTGTTGACCTGGAGGTCTTTCTTCAGTGCTGA